TCTGCGGCTATCTTAGATAATAAAAAGGCTGAGATGTGTGTGAGTCAAGACCAGCTCGCCTGCACATCTGCGGCTATCTTAGATAATAAAAAGGCAGTTTCCTAAATTTAAAAGGTGGAAGATATCTAACTATCTTAATGTTTCATAGTAAGCTAAATTAGACTTTAAAGCAGTCTACTAAGAAATACCAGATGTTAGTTATCAATAGCAATACCCCACTATGCAATCACTCTTTAGCACGTTTTCCACTTTTTTAGGAACACACTCACCCTTTTCATGCGTAACCACCGAATCTCCACACACGTCCATCAAAGGTCTACATTCCCACCGCCTTTCCAGGTATTCAGGATTCAGGAACCTCTTTCAAGGCCAGCCCCAACTTTGCCATCTCTCTCTTTCTCTTCCCTGGAGTCCCTGCTCGGGCTGTCTCTAACACTCTCCACTCTCCGCTGGCATCTTTCCCTTAGCCTATCGACATGCTCCCGTCTCTCCCAGGTGCTGTAGACCTCCAGCCTGTAGTCCTAGCTACTCAGGAGGCTGAGGTCCAGAGGACTGAAGTTTGAAGCCAGTCTGAGAGACTCCATCTCCAATTAGCAAAAGTCTGGGTGGTGGAAGATCAGTAAGGAAGCCAACTGAGATCCTTTACCTTTAATAAATAAAGTTCTCTCGCCTCCAAAGTTTTCAAAAAGAGATTTTCGTCAGCATCTGTCTTTTTATTGGGACGGATAGGGATTTGCTAGTGTTTGAACTCAGGACCTTGTGCTTGCTGCTAGCTAGGCTCTCTACCATCTGAGCAATGTCTCTCGCCCTTTCTACTTTGGTTATTTTTTTCCTGATAGGGTCTCATGCTTTTTCCTGGGGACAGTCTTGGCCCCCAATCATCCTATATATGGCTTCCAGTGTATCTGGAATTACAGGCATGAAGCATCATGCCAAGTTTGTTTGAGAAAGAGTTTTGCTAATTTTTGCCCTGGATGTCTTCAAACCATGATCCTTTTGATCTCCATCTCCTGAGCTGATAGGCTTCTACGCACGGCAGCCTGCCATTCACTTCTGAACTGTGTTCTCATTCTGTTCAACTAGTTCTTGCTGAAATAGTTACCAACGTCTTCTTGATCCTAAATGAACAGGCATATCGATCCTCCAGTGATCTAAAATGCCCTGTCTACTCCTTTGGGAATACACAGCCGTGCTGACTCGATCTACCTACCGCTTGAGACAGCGCAGATAGGAGGCAACTGCCTCTGCTCACCGCAGCTGCAAACCCTCAGGAAGCCGGCGCGCGCTCTCTCCCGCGCCCACCTCCTGCCTCTTCGTAGAAGCACTGGCAGTCTGCGTAGCTGTCTCCATCAGAGCTGTCTGTTCTACAGCCCAGGAACAACTTCACATGTAGGAAATCCAGTAAGTACTGCGATATCAGGACTCATCTTTTCCCAATTACCCGAGGAATTGCATGGACTTAGCCCAAGTTAGTGAATTTAAGATCTTAACTTTATGAACTTACTTGAAAAATTCAGTTTTTTCCTCTTCATTCTTCAATGTTAGGCTTTTCAAGAAATTCACAATTTCTAGAAAATCATTTCTATAGGCCAAAAAGAAAAAGCAATACAGCCGATTAGAGAAGGCATGTCTAAATCCTCAAGACACAGTCCGTATGCTGTTTTACAATCTGAAGGCCTCGTGCGGTGACCATTCCTGGGAAGGAGCGATGGGAAGATCTGGATTTGAGAAGGAAGAGGAAAAAGGCTGAAAACCATGCCTCAAAGAAGAGCTGGGCAGAGCGGGACACGGCGTGAGACCCAACGACAGCCTCAGCCAAAGGGCTGCGGGGCCGCCTCAGGCGGAGAGCACTTGCCAGCAGCGTGAGTCTTGCACTTCAACCCAGAGTAAAATTAAATACGCTTTCATGAGACACATGGGAGGAGGACTCAACAACCTGTGGAGACAGACTTACAGCACACACTTGATATCACGCTTTATGGTTTGTAAAAGACACTGTTCAGTAAGTGCCCTTGGAGAAATTACGTTTCCGGTATAAGACGGGTGGGTTCCCAAGTGCCTGGTGCGGTTAGTAAAGAGGACAGAAGAGAGTGGAATCTCTGGGAGTCACAGGAATCTTGCTACTTCTCCTGTTCAAAGTTATTCAGTCCCTGAACCAGACGAAGTGAGCTCCTGTAGAGCCACAGGCTCAGCTCCACCTGAGTGCGGCTAACCCCCACCAGGTGCTGTCAGCAGCACTGACTGCTGCTCCTGAAGCTTACGGCTGGGCAGCATGCACAGCACGCTTATAAGCACAGATACTCCTGGTCTCCTTCCACTCTTCTGTTCCTACTTAGAGCCGACCCCTGCACAACCTAGGGTTAGGGACACTGACCTCTCCATGTGCCACACAGTTAAAAACCTCCAGAAGGCTGGGTGCCAGCGGCACACGCCTGTCATCCTAGCTACTCAGGAGGCTAAGATCTGAGGATTGTGGCTTGAAGCCAGCCTGGGCAGGAAAGTCTGAGCCTCAACCTCTGATAAGCCGCCAAAAGTTAGCTGGAAGTAAAGCTGTGGCTCAAGAGATAGAGTACTAGCTAGCCCTTAGCAAAAAAGCTCTCAGACAGCGCGTGGGCCCTGAGTGCAAGCCTCAGGACCAGCAAAAGAAAAAAAAGCAACTCGGAACTTGGGGCCGTTGGCCACATTTTGTATGTTTCATGTGTTGAGCACAGAGGTCTTTTTACTGAACAAGCAACTGGCTGCTCACTGCAAGATTGCACGTGGTATTTAAGGTGCCGAGTGCTTTAGCTCACCACCACAGTGGCGGCCGGCGGCTGGCAGGCATTGCAGCAGTAATGTCCCCGTTACCTTCTAGTTATGGTTTGACAGCACATCGTGACACGGCTTTCCTGGCTGCCAATGGCACCATACAGCCTCTACACATGGTGCGTACACTTTGATAAACTAACATAGCTGTCTATACGTCATGGTAATAAATGATTCATAAAAGACTAATATCTCATGTTTTACGCATTCATCACCCCTGTTCTCTTTCTGGTATCTCTAGGCTATGGAGTTACTGTCTTTGTGTTTCAAACTGTCACAAATCTCCAAAAAACGCCCCAGTTCTGTGTGTGGCTCGTGTGGTTGGAATCTGTGTGTTTCAGAGCTACAGCAGTCCCTCTGGCTCTGCGGCCGGGAAAACACACACGCCTTCCCATCCTCCTTCCCATCCACCCCACCGGCTCCATTCCGCACAAAGGCTTGGTCTAATTAATCATCGACAATGACAGGGAAGATACTTTGGCTGAAAATGTACAATGGTAAATATTCACAACTTGCATTTGTCAATTAAAAACGTATTACAAGGGTCAAGGTTCACAAGTCTTTCTGACACATAAATGACAAATATAACGCTGGTAACTACAAATACTACTGTTTAATAACAGTACTACTCTAGAGAAATGATAGTAGTATTTAATCACAGAACTAGTCTAGAGACAACTACTGGAGAGGAGAGTTAGCGTTCCCCCATCCTGGGTTACCTGTGAACACCTGGGGCGCGGCGCGGGTCAAGGGCAGACGCCGCCAAGCGCAATGCGCTGGCTTCACCCCAGCACCGAAAGACGGGGCAAAAATAAAAGAAAGCTCAAAGGGAAACAAAACCGGTACAAGGCTCGTTTTCCATCATATATTATTAAGGAGGAACAAGACGCTTGCTCTGCCCAGAAGAAACACTCAGCGTAACAAGTCCATAGGCAGCAATGCCGGCAGAGAGGCCTTTCCCACTCACCCTTCCAGTGAGCTCTCAGCGCGACCCAGTCAGCTTGTTCAGGTAGAAGCAGCAATAAATCGACAGGATTCCTAGAGCCCAGGCCTTCCCCACGAGAGGCAGCCCCGTCTCCCCCTCTCTTCTCCCGTGGACACGAGTCAGACCCTGCTCCTAACAAGGGCCGCGGTCAGTGGCGGCAGAGCGCGTGCGCAGAGGGGCGGCGGGCGGCGGGCAGCGGGCGCGTCCTCACCTGAAGAAGTCGTGGGACAGGAAGGCCCTGAGCGCTGGCCGGCACTGGGGGTCAGGGTTCAGCAGAGCTGAGTGCAAGGTCTGCTGGAAGCTGGAGAGAGCATCCGCTGAAACTGAAATCCAGAGCGACAGTTAGTTTCCAAGGCCTTCGCCCTCCTCTCGGGACCTCTACAGCTGGAGATGACGAGAGCAAAAACCAACCTGGAAAAGCCCAAACAGACAGAGCCCTGCTGTTGCTGAGCGGCCTCCTCCCGGCTTCAAGCCAAGCTCCTCAGGTGTGCAGGGCCCAGCCAGCGCCCCCCGCCCCCCGCTGCTCCCCCTCAGCCTGGCGGCTCCTGCTGACCACCGGACTCCTCAGACCCCGGGACGATGCGCGGAGGGGGGCAGGTGTGAGGGCCTTTCTCCACCAGACCGCAGCCACATTCCCGTCCTGTGTCTTCCCTTCTTAAAGGACGGTACCTAATTGGCGCCACACAGCACAAGGGAGGACAGCTGAGCAAACACGGGAGGCCTTAAAGCCGCGGGCTCATCCTCAAACGCTTCCACAGGACAGGCTAGAGGTGACAGCCAGATGGCGCGAGTAACACCACAACATGCCTGCGGCCAGCAGGAGAACCAGAGCCGCGCCCCAAGCCTGGCGAGGACAAATGCAGGCCCAGAACAGTGCCGGAGTGACCCAGCTGCCCAGCACGTCAGACAGAGAACATGCACAACAAACGCTGTCATTCAGACTGTGCGCCTCCATCGTTAATGGCCTTTAAGCTGTCGGGTGTCTCCATAAGGAAGCTACTACAATGAAGATGGCAACTATTCACAAAAGTGACGGCCCTCGTTGAGACTTGCTTTTTACTCTGCTCAGATGAACGGGAGCCAGACCTGCCCTCGCTGTTAATTACCATCCTCCCCAAGACACCTGGCGAGCACCAAGCTCCTTACTAGCTTAGACGGCATCCTTTGATTCCACGCAGAAGCAGTGTGGCTCAGTTTCCGACTTAGTCTGTGGATGAAACAGTCTAACTCCAACTCACCCTGCTCCTTTAAGATGGCGAGCAAGCTCTCCACCAGTGTTCCGAATGCATACGCATCCCGAGCATGTCCATAGGGCTCCGGAAGAGTTGTGAATTCTGGAGACTAAAAGCAGCGAGTATAATTATAACTACAACTCATAAGTCAGTTCTAATTTCCTCTGAAGCACTTTCTCCCGTGTTCACATTGGTTTTACTTAAGGATCTCACACACTAATTGATGGACATTAAATACTATGAGGCACTGTACCCTACAAATAAAATTAATGACATGTCTGTCTCAAACAAAACATCTCCTAATAACTGGAATGATCGAAGATTTTTAAGGCTATATGCAATGGCTCACACCTGTAATCCTCGTTACTCAGGAGGCAGAGACCAAGAAGACTGCTAGGGCAAAAAGCTATAGAGAGCCCATCTCAATGCATCAGCCAGCTATGGTGAACCGTGCCTGTAATCCCAGCTGTGTGGGAAACAAGACAGGGAGGAAGATCACAGTCTCAAGTCATCTCTAGGCAAAACACAAGATCCTGCCTACACAGTCACAGAGTAAAAGGGTGTGCCACCGCTCCCAAGAGTACAGCATCTGCCTAGCAGCATGGTGCTCTGAGTCAGACTCCTGTACTCAAAACAGCACGGTGTTTAAAAATACCCACGGTGAAAAAAACCATCAGAAGGTCAGCATACAGTAATCATCTTTGATTTCAAAGCATTTGAACGGCAACACAGAGTAAAAGCATATAATTCATTACACACACACACACACACACACACACACACACACACAAGCACACAATGAAAAACAAGTTTCATAAACCGTCAGGGAACCACAGCTAGCTCAGCAGCCTCAGCGTCCAGTGAGACGCACCTTCCACTCCCTGCGTGTTGCTCAGGACTCCCAAAATATCACGACTATTCAGCAACTTGAAAACCAGTGATTTGAACAAATGTGATTACATATTGTATGTCTATACTTAACGCAAAGCACATTAAATATGCCTTTGGGAATCAATGGTCAGAATGGTTACAAGAACAAACTTCAGGGATGGGAAGGTGGCTCAGTGGTAGAGCGCTTGCCTTGCATGCATGAGGCCCTGGGTTCGATTCCTTAGCACCACATAAGCAAAAAGAAAAAAGCCGGAAGTGGCGCTGTGGCTCAAGTGGTAGAGCGCTAGCTGAAGAGCTGAGGGACAGCGCCCAGGCC